TTGAATCTTAGTAATGGAGGTTTATGTGTTACGGCGTTACGAATTGCTGAATACCAACAGTCTATGGATGAAAAAATGCTGAATTTTAAAAAAACCAGTTCTCTGAARGAGTTGGTTAATAGGTTGTCCTCTGCTTGTTCTCTGGCACCCATTTAGTTGTCTGAGACAGGAAGAGGTCAGTGGCTGTAGGCAGTACACTGAAACACAGCTCCCCACTTCACCCTGGAGTTCTGCTCAAAATGATCCTGCACAGTGGAGCTACTCAATGGCACAGCAGAAATGGCACCTCAAAAGCACAAAATGTTTTTTTTAGGGGAGGTTCKTTCAAATATTTCCTCTTTTAGTAAATAAATAGAACTGAACTTCATGACAGTCTGTACAGGATTAATAAATTCTGCCTCCTTTAGCTACTGATAATCCCATTCATCACAGTTAAGAAAGCAATTTATATTTAGAAGCACAAAGGCAGCTGTCTTGGTTTTAGACCAAGGACTATTTCAGTGTCTTATTCCAAAGGTTTCTTGAATGCCTAAAGGAGCAGTAAGAGCAGGGTAGGAAAATATGACACTTTCTCCTAATGCTCTCCCTGACAGCAGCTCTGCTTATCTTCAGAGAGCTTTTTTTGCATTGACCTATGGCTTTGTGTGTTTACTAACCCACAGCTGGTATGATTTCCCCTAGAGGAAGTGTGAAAAGAGAATTTTTCAAATATGTACAGGGTTTCCTGTGTTTTGGAAAGTGTCAACTCTCCTCCATTTAATATCTGTGTAGAATTTTGGCGTTCAGCCCTCATTATGAATGCACACTCTAGTTTTTCTCAGTTTTAGCTTAAGAGGTGAGCTGCATAAACAATAGGTTCACTTACCTTCTGTCTTGTGTGGAAGTTTCCAATCTGTCCCTTACCTTTTGGGAGGGAACAACACTGCACCCTGTCACAGAGCCAGCAGGACCAGTGGATGAATCTGAAACTTGCGTTGTATTTAAATGCCTGAGGTCTTGAATCCCCAGTCTCCTACACACCCCAATCAARTTGTTATATTGCTTCTAAAATACAGGATTTCAGGTTTCTTTTTCATTCCTGCCCTTATGTGCTTGCAAGCATTATTCTTCACATTCATTTTTCCCTGGCACAGAACACAAGTTCATGCCAGCTCACTTGATATGCATGCAGATATGAATTTCAACCAGAAAAAGACGCTCACTCAGATAAGAAATACCTGTTTTATCATTGTGGGCGTATTAGGCATAGAAACCTAAAGCAAAATTGCATTAAATACTTCTGCTGAAGCTGTGCTATATGTGCTTTTTAGGTTAGGGTCAATTTAAAGCAGACCCAGCCATGCTCTTCTTCTTCTTCTTTTTTTTTTTTTCACTTTAATCTTATTTGTTATCATCCCTTCTGAGTGAAAATGCACAGGGAATGGCAAATGCAGTAGATAGACAAGGGCATTCTGGAGCATTGTGTCATGGCTGTAAAGGCCTGCTGATGCAATTAATGGCTGCTGTGTTAATGAATAATTGGGTCTAGGTTGTGTTGCTGCTGACTTTAGATAATTTTGGGGTTTTTTAAGTGATGTATTATAGACTTCCACTGTAAAGTAGTGCTTGAGAGCTGCTGATGGAGAGAATCTTCTCACTGTGAAGTTATGCATATGATTACTCTTACAATTTGAAGAAAACGTTAGGATTGAGCAACTTTTTTCCCTCAAGCATAAAAACTGAAGGTTTACATAACATTGCATTAATTTATTTTCTGTAAAACAGTGGATGTGCCCGTGCATTCATTTACACTGAAAAGCATAAGGAGCACAATAAYTGGAAAATGTGGGAAGGTTATTAGTGATTATAGCATTATAGYATCCTGTGATTCTTACAGAAATAGTCAGAATGTGCACTGCCAACTTTAAAGTCAATTAAATGGACAATAAAGACCATGCTGGCAGGGGAGATGTTAAGAAGGGAGAGACTGAGATGMAGCTCCTTTGTGAGAGATGACTGAATGACCCAAGGATGAAAATAYGGCTGCAATGTTTCATCAAATAAAATAAAATTTAAAAAAAAAACCCAAAACAAACAAAAAAAGCCACCTAGCATTTTTCTACATCAGTCATCTTTTTAAGCAACTGTCAGTACTAGAACAGGCTTTGGGTAGATGGGCTAAGGGAAATACAAAAAAAGAGCTTCTAGCAGACTGGAAGGTAAAGCGAATTTTTAAATCAGGGGCTATTTGTAGCCCATCTAAACTTAGAATATATTAGTTTGAGTGTCTTTCAGTGCACTGAAAGTTCATCTCAATTTGACATATGCTTTTTGAAAACATTTTTAGTTGTAAGTAGATTCATGAATGCATAAACTTGAATGGATAAAACATCATCTTTCTGCTGAGGAGTTTTCAACTGTAACTAAAAAATGGGTGCATTTCTTCTTGTTATTTGCAAATTGTGATTAAATCTGTCACAGGTACCCTGAGCTGTTTGAAATAATGCAAGTGACTTGTGAGACCAGTCAGCCTCTTCCAGACACTGGTTTAGGTGGTCTGTGAGCTGTACATAATAAAACCAATGACACTTAGACCCATATTGTATTGAAAAGGATTYGTCTGCTTGAAATCGGAGCATCTGGGCAAAGGAGGTACTCCAAAGCAAATATKTATTAACAAACTAAATGAGCTGAAACCAAAGTTTCAGTCAGAGGTACAATGCAATAAMGTCTGATCAGCTGAAGCTTCAGGCACAAAGAAGTTATCCAGCATGTTTGTAACATGATGATAAAAAGTGAACAGAAAATGTGAATTTTCATTTTGTGCATTTCTTAAATCTGAAGTTCCAGCTGATTGCCATTTGGAAGCAGAGAAACAGCTTAGGAGCCCTTYGTGGAACAGAGTTATTGTAATTTCCCTACCACCACTGGGAGATTTGACTCGGGRGTGTCACTGTGGCAGATTGACTCGGAGTCACAGGAACCTTAGGAGACCTCATTGTGAACAGAGCAGTTACAGCAGGGCAGACATTCCCGGCAGGACATCCCAGAGCCAAAAGTTAGGAAGGACAAGGTTGCTAGGAATCTGACAAGAAATCAGAAAATATGTCAWCTGGGCTGCCTTTTTTTCTTTTGTTTGTTTTTAGTTCTGTTTGCTTTCAGCAKAACTGTTTATGGATTGACTAGCAGAATGGTTCCTACTTTAGCAAGGCTTTGATTTGTTCTGTTTTACAGAAAATTCAAACGATGGCTTATGTTGTAAATGGGATAACTTTCTATGCTTTGGAAGTTTATATAAGGAGCGAATGCTCCATTGAAAAGTTTGTTACTGTTCTGTCCTCTTTCGACCTTTTTTGGTTCCTGAATGTGTTTGTATTCCAACTGGAATCTGATTATTTGAGAATCCTCARTGTGTTGTGCTGCCTCCTATCATAGTTCCTCAGTTTTTATCCTGTTCTTTTATATGTGSTGTGGGAACACCTTCAGTGGAGAATGCAAGAAAGTGTCAATGCAATGCAACAAAATATCACATTTTTAGGCACTTAACTGCACCTAAAGTAAGGACCTTGATTCCTACTGCTAATGATACTGAAATTTTCCAGTGCTCATTAGCAGCTGTGGTTTTCCATCCCACTCATTTCTTAGCAGTGCTGTGAGAGTTTCTAACAAGAAGTCAGTCATACACTGCTGCTCTTGCTTTCCCCTCATCCAAGTCTCTCCAGATCAGAATTTCCAATCTCGCCTATCATTCCGCTAAACAAACAGTGCCCCAATTCTAATAGCCTTTGAATTAGTAATGAGGGTCATCAGTGTGAGTTTCTTGATGCTGTTAAGATTTGTGACCAGTTCAATTGTTCTCCTTTGGACATGGCACAGCGTAAATTGCCACTGTCCTTGGCAAGTGTAATTTCTGTTGGTCATCATTAAAAGCCAATGGTCCAAGTAATAAGAGCCCAGCCATCTAACTGAACATTTACAAGTGCCAGTTCCAATAATTGTTTTTATTTTTTTTTTCTTTATGTTTTTTTTAAGGGCATATTCAATAGTTTTAAGTATCTAGTAGTTTTGAGTTGTGAATCAAGATGTTTATGGTAACTGTACAAATAAAATGGGATTCATTTAGGTTTAAAACTSTTAGTCCTAATTCAGTTTAATTTAAAAAAAAAAAAAAGTTAAAGGTGTCCAGCCCTTTCCATAGTTTGTTTCTGTCCTCCSTTTTGTTGATGATTTCTTTCCAGCCTAATGAAAGTGGAACAGGAGTATTTTTATCTCTTCATTTCCACTGTGCGGTTAATTCAAATGTGACTTACCACGAAAGTGTGGTGGATTCAAGGAGGGAAAGGACTGAGTGAAAGATGARTTAGGAAGCACCTGTTCAGTCCAGCATGAAGGCAGATCCTGGAATAATTTTCAACAAAGGAAAGAAGAAGATATATGAGAGTAGAATGAGAGGCCTTCTGTGCATGGAACCTGGGACRGGCTATAATTCATCATCTCTGTGACAGCCCTTTTTCTCAGGAGAACCCTTTCCTTCCTGCTCTTTGCACTTCTGTGAACTCCAKCTCTTGTGGTGTGGGATTTTTAGTTTGAGTTTGTTTTGTTTTTCTTTAATTCAAAAGCTTTCTGGGTAGGTACACACTGGAAAGGCMTTAGAAGCAGGAAATACAGAAATTACTTGATATTCAAAAAGTTACTTGATATTCATTTTCTGCCTTCCTTTCTGTTGCTTCCTCTCAACACACAGTACTAAGGCAAAAAAGTTTTCATTTTCTCTTCARTCAGCTGAAACATCCTGTGATGTCAGCAGTGAAATCTATTTTCCAAGTTTAATTGGCAAGTCAAACAATAATACAAATGCTTCTGCAGAATGGTGCTAAAGGTTCTCTACCCTCAGTTCAATGGCAAAAGTCCTAGAGAGCATGTGCTTTGGGTTTTGTCATTTGCAGAGAGCATCTATTTAATTTTTTTTTTCTGCCTTTCACAAGCAAGCTGACTGACGGCTGTTTTATTCTCTATTTCAGGTCGTGGAGACTAATTTGGTTGCTTTTGACTGTCACTGGATCATTATAAATGAGGTAACTGTCAAGTGAACGTTGTTGTGAACCATGAATCCTGTTTTCAGCCTTACAGACAATATTCATGCTGGTTCTCCCTTTGCCAACAGGAAGCAGTAGTTATGACAAGTTCAAGTGCACTGAGGGAGTAGATGTTGCTTAATAAAAGTAGAATGATGGGTTCTTGGATTTTGCTGTTTTAAATGGAAGTTCCTGAATGAATAAATGGAAAATAAGATTTAAAAAAAAMMACATTTATTTCTGAGCATCTCCAGATTTCACAATTGAGCTGACTGTTTTCAAAGGATCTTTTCAAGGTCTTTTTTTATTATGTAATCTTTTGTACTGGAGTTCTTGTATTTTGTGTATATTTCAATGATTTTTTYTTCTTWATAATCAAAATAATAATARTAAAATCCCATATTTCCCTTTCCTTTATGAATTCTTCAAATGTTCCATCATGACTGACATCCAAAACTGTTGATATTAGTGGGAGGCTTCTGGTTTAGGTCATATGTGAGTGTTCTTAAAGCGAAAAAAGAAAGTTAAATTGAKATCCTGTTTATACACCGTGAAATAAGTTCTTCCATGAAAGCTTGGCAGCTAAAATATGGCAAGTCAACATGCGAAGTTGTTTTGTATACAAAACATTGAACAATGCAGTTCAGGTTTGACAGCATTCAAGGTTTTCTTTTGTTTTTTAAAAAATAACTTAGGCATAGAAAAGCTAGATTTGCTGACTAGATGACTATCCAATGTAGATCATGCAACTTCTTTACATTCTCAGGATAAAAGAGAGATACTGCATGTAAATTCCATGTCTTACTATCTGGATTTACTGTGCAACTCTGTTTTGATGCCTAATTATTAGATTTTCATTCATATTCTGTGCTAAACCAGTGGTATTTTAGCCAGTTTTCCCTGGAGAAGAATATATCCCAGGGAGTGCTGTAAAGACAAACAGGTCCAGCATAACTSTGAGTTTGGGCCTTGCCTTACTCTYGACAAATAATTGTATTTTCCGGCACCGAATGGGCCTTTTCTGGGAGAGAACCCAGCTTTAATCTRCAGGTGGTCATGTCAACAACATACATGTTTTCTTTTTCACGTTGCAATAACTAGAGTTCACTTCAGAGTTAACACTCAGTATTTTAAGAAGAGCGTTAGGAAAAGCCATCCTCTGTATCAGTAGATAGGAYAGCAGTTTCTTAGACAAAGCTCAGATTTTGGCTTGCTGTTCAAGTTAAAGACACTGCCATTATTTTTTTCATTTTAAATGTTATATGCTTTCCATAAGTTCTAAGGACGATGCTTACTTTCAGCTGTTTCAGCTCCCTCACCCTCAAAAAAACAAAACAAGAATGAAGATCYATTCCTAGTACATATGCTTTCTCTTTGCTTTTTATTCAGAAATTAGTGCCTCCGTGAAAAAAAAAAAACCAAAAAAAACCCCAAAACTGCTTTGTAAGCATTTTTATTTGCACATTGCAGCAGATGAAATGGCAGAGCAATCAAAGTGGTTACCACTCAGCTGCCTTCTCCACTCCAAAATTCTTTCTCTGGGCTGCAGTCCCAATAACAGGAAATGTGAATGGTCTGCACAGAGAAATGTACCTTGTCCCTTCTTAGCTTTATAGTCTTGTATATGAAAATGGGGAAAGCCATGATTAAGTTCATTCCAACAAACTGCTCTAAACCACAGCCATTAAAGTCTCTGCATCTCGTTCAGCAATTCCTCTTTTCTCTTTTATAGAAGGTGTGTATGTTTAGTGCTATTTCAGTTTAATCTGCTTCTGGACCTAGATCCATATTCCCACTAAGGYAGCTTTCTAGCTCTGTTCAAAAATRCAAATAATCTCAGCATTATGTGGATGCAGAAATTATATTAGCAATATGTAAGATTGGTAGATAATAATAGGCAAGAATTCTGCTTTGCCCATATTTTCCTCATCACTAGGTTCAAATTACAACATAAATCTACATGTTTYCTGAATGTTTAATGTTGGGTAATTGCTTATGGCAATGTTTTGCCAGTTCAATAAAGAGATTGCAATGCCTCTGTTTGGCAGTGCAGGACTTGCAAATGCAGAGATTTGTGGGCCCCTTTGTGACATACAGAACAGCTATCTTTATATCCCAGTACATTTGAGGTGATTGTCTATTACCTGTTGATGACCACAGTACTTCCATATGTCTGTGAAATTATCTCAGAGCTCTGCCCATTTTGTTGCTTCTATGAATCTTTTGTGACAACTTAGACATCTGTGCTCGAATGCCTGTATTGGCTAAATGACACTGTCGAATAAATAACTGTAACTGTACTTCTCTGGCCCCCTAATTTGAAATTCTAAGATGATCTATGACAGTGAAAATCCATTGTTTTGCAAATTCTGCTTATGATTCAAATAATTCCTTGCCTTGAGATACCAAAATAAGCTGSATTTGTTCTTTCCTTTTCCATCACTGTGCCAAGGGAATAAAACAGTCTTAGCAGCTAAAGTAATACAGAAGCAAATAACACCTTCAGTTTTGTGATCAGGAATCTGCTTAGGCTTTCTGAGGTAACATCTGCTATTTTAATAGCTCACTCTAAATGCTGTAATGTCTGCAAAGAGTTCCTTAATTTTTATTGTCCCATTAGTTGCTACTTTATGCAATACAGCAAATTTTCTTGAAAACTGTGTATCATAATGGGAATGTATGTGTGGGAGGGTTTGTTCCCATAAAATGAAAGAATTCCTAATTTTCTAAAACAGAATGCATCATATTAGACCGTMGCAAATAATGCAAATCTCTTCTGATCACTGTCGTCAGCTGAGGAAACACTCTCCAAATAAATGTTTCTATTTCTTCAGGGCCTTAAAGCAGATGCTAAAGTTCTTTATTTAAAATTTGCAGGAGTCATAGATTTGAATGTAGTCAGRATCAAATATGCCTTAACAAAATGTGAGAATGGATTTCTCACACTCTCTCTCCCTCTGCCTATCTGTCTTTGCTTGCTTCATTTCCTCTGCACAATAGTAAATACAGCTTCAAAGTCCCAGGATAGAAAATTATATTTCTTCCATGACTCTTAATTCACAACTGTATGGTAATCTGAGACTTTATTTAGTGGAAGTGAAGAGGCATTTGTATAATTTTCATCACTTTCCCTGGCTCTTTCTAAATGAAAGAACTGTCCATTTTCCCATTTTAAATCGTGTCTCTCTCCTTTGTTAAAACATTCAGGGTTATCTTGCTATTATCTTGCCGTACCCAAGGCTGCCACCAGTTCTCTGCTACTRTTGTTTACTCAAGGATAGCCCCAAACATTTTCCACTCCCTACAGTTGCAATATAGGAGGTGAAAATATTGCTGCTCCTTTACAAAGGATCGTTTAGAATTCATCGGCAATAATGTGCATAATTTGACCAGGTATATTAGAATTACAATGGAATGAGAGCACGGAAAAGCTGATTTGTGTAAGAAGAGACTGGAAAGGTTGGCTTGGTTAGCCTATGAAAGCAAAGACTGAAAGAGAATGTGCTCTCTCTGTTTATAAACACTCACAGAATGTGAATAAATGCATCATTGTCAAGGGCTAGAGGRCAAGGTTGACACAAAAACAAACGAGTTCAATTTGTCCATGAATAAACAGAGGTCAGAAGTTGGTGAAAGGTTTCTAATTACCAGAGGCACTTGAGTCTGGAAAAACTCCTCRATGGAAGAATGCGAAAAACCTTCAAACTCTTTAAAAGACCAGTTTGTGRGAAAAGGTCCAACAGGTTTGCCCATCACAGCACAAGAGAGGACCTGCAAGGTTGTAGTCAAAGGCTACTTTCTGATGAACACATTTTTCTAGGAGAGGGCTTGTCCTTGGCCCATGTGTTTATTGTGTCCCATTGTGTTTCAGCCCAATGCACTCCACTGTGAATAAATAAGTGTTGAACACATCTATATTTTGAGCTCAAGCAGTTAGATCAGGTCCTATAAACACAGCTCAGTTCCAGGAGCTCACGTAATTCAACATTTTCMTATGGATAATGATTAATAATAGCTTTAGAGCTTCATTTCAACCCTTGTATTTTCCAGTGGGTCTGGTGTGAAATGACCCCCTTTGGAACAGGTGGGCCACCAAGTTGCCAGCTCTAGGCATTAGTGAGAGTTAATACACAGATGAAGTGAACCCTGCTTTCTCCAAGATCTTGGACTTTTTGCTCTGTGAAAGCCAAAAATTGATTTCTCCTTGTCGTGTCGGTTTTTATTCATCCCCTCTGCAAAGCCTAAGAAACCTAAGGGATATATAATGGAGTAAGCGATGATGCACTTCAAAATCTCCTTTTACTTGTCTTGGAGCTTCATCTAGTGATGCCTTTCCCTCAACTTCGCCCCTTTGGAAAGTGTTAAGAAATTCAGGAAGGGCACAGCCCAAATGTGCCCTGGCATGGGCACAGACAGCCCAGAGGCCTCGAGCCACCCTTTCTCCCTGTGCCCTCTGCTGACTTCTGGAGGAGGGAGAAACTCTCTCCTCTCTGAGTGTCCTGACTTTGTGTGATGAAGTTCTGGCATGCACTGGAAAATAGGGCATGTCCACTATAATGTAAATAGTGGAACCATCTTCTTGGCCCGTAGTTGTTTCCATAAGAAAAGGTGTTTCTGCCTTTGTTTGATGCTTATTACAGGCTCGCTCTATATCTCTCACTGCTGGGACAATTGCTCTGTGGTGAAGTGTCTCTGCCTGGTTTGCTTATCRTAAAATAATGGGACAAATATTTCATGTCCAGTATACAGTCTTGATTCCTATGACGTCTTGCCTTACGTGTCAAGATTATCCTTTTCAATTCTCATTTCCTAATTCATCTGTAAAGTTATTGATTTAGAAAAGCTTTTGTTTCCTTATTTATTTGCCTGTTTAGRTGAAATGTACATCTAATTTTATCCTTGTTCCATCTGTGACAGAACAGTCTCCCCTTAATTCCAAGTTCAGACCAGTGAAAGAAAGGCTTGGAACTATACACTGATGTAAAAAAGGGGGGAAAAAAAAAAGGCAAATAAAAAAACAAACAACCCTGCATAACCTAGCCTCAGTTTATTCAGGTGCCAACTCAGTTCAACTTGGCCAACTTTCTAATTTTTTTTACATTCGACGCTTGTATAACAGATCATCTGCCACCCTTGTATCATTACACTGTATCCTCCTTTGAAGTGCAAATGCAAATTGTTTCCTYTCATACAATAGTTGCTTTATATAGTTTTCTTAAGTCAGATCCAAAATTCAAGAATGAGAGATGATATTGGAGAGTCATTATATAAAAGGCTTGTCACTCASTCAATGCAAAGTATTTAAAAAAGGACAAAGAAATACATAGCAAGTGACTAATATTGAATTTGGGTTTGCATGGCATTGCTTTGTTGTCAATCTAAAATCTGGATTTATGATATAATCGGTGGAATTCATAGCATTTAAAATAATAGCTGTCATTAGGCTGTTGATGTATATACCTCCTTGGCCACCACACAAAAATGGCTTTARTGTTTGAATTCTATTATTATTTCCCAGGTAATGTATAAAAACATGAGGTAGTAACCTAGAGGTTAAAATGAGAACATTCTATTTAAAATGCACCAAAAAGTGCTGAATACAGAAAACATAAATACACTTTTATGGCAGAAAAGATAAATGCTTGARGATTTGAAAGTCAAAATCTCTTTTAAAGTAGTATTTGGCAATATAATGTGGCCATGCAGATATCTGCTTTTATATTATTAGAGTGAGTCTAATAACCTTGGTGTTACAGTTTAGGCAGGCTGTATAATGAAACCAGACAAACTTTTTTAAATCCTCTGAGAAAGTATATCATTAAAAATCAAGATAAGAAGTTTCTTGAGCTCTCCTTTATGATTATATTGAAAGTATTATAAATATATATATACATATACATATATATATATATTTTGCTAAACCAGCATTGAATATGGTGGTTTTTTACCTGACAGCTATGAAATGATACAGGCTAAATGAAAAGACGGCATCTTAAGCTGAGATAAGCCATTATCTGTGGTACATTAAGAATTAATCGACCAGAAATGCAAGATACTACACTGAACACAGCTGATGCTATGTGTTAYTTCTCTTTGCAGAAAAAAATCCATATTTAATAAAGTACATTAATAACAGATGAATTCAGAAACTATGGTAATCTGTGAAGGCAAATAAAATACTTTTACTGTAGTTGAGAGTAGAAGTTATAATTTACATMTGACATGTTTTTCTTCCAAAATTTAAGGGAAATAAACAAATACCAGTATGTCCACAGTAGCTCCTTCAAAATAATGAAAGGATATTCTACTGAAACAGCAGAAAAAAAGCCAGCATAACTGGGCTGTTTGTCTTAACATTTAAAGAGCTGCTTTTTCAAAAACCTTGGCTTCTTTTCCACAAGAAAGATTCCATAATTTAAGATCAAGTCTATCTCCTGGTGTCTCCTAAATTCTTTAATATGGTTGCACATCAGGAAGCTAAAGGCAGAAACAGATGATGGCATTTTGTTACAGGTATAACAATGCAGATGTGTTGAATTCTTTGAAAAATGACAAGGCTACAAATACACAAATGAGAATCAAAGATATTCARTAAACTGTGGCTGTGTGCAAGGGAATTTTAAATGTGGGCTGTTAATAGGAGCTTCTTGATCACCTCGCTTCCTGGGGGCATGTCCACAAATTTAAATGTCTGGAAAGTTGGGGGTGTCAGCCTCTGTAATTAGGACAGAGCATGGACAGTCAGCTCAGCATGATGACAAAGAGATCCCGGTTTAAAAGATGAATTTTAGATTGCTTCTACTATGTTACAGAAARATACAGACACGGAATTAAGTTGAAAGCTACCAGCTGACTCTGTTTGAATTACCAGAATAAAACCATGTTTCACTACACTTCAAGCTCTAATATGAAGGCTGGAATCAGTTGCTGTTGCTTGGGAGCGCATGTTCCTCTTTCTCAACATTCCCTGAGGGACTCATCATTCAGCACTGTAAAACACCATGTTCCCAAACTGCAGGAGTTCATGCTATGTAAAAAAACCTGTTTTTCTGATTTCCCTAACCTGTCTTAAAGTTAATATTTTAAGCTTAATATTGGTGTATTTACTTAGTTATTTTTTCTTTAAAATATTTGTCTGTAAAGCTGAGTGTTCAGCTGTAAGCCTTAATAGGTACCCTATGGAATTAAAATTTCATTTTAAATTAGGTCTTGCTATAAACAAGCACATTCACACCTAGAATGCTCTCATGCATTTTCTTTGCCCTTTTGGAAAATGATGTTTGCTAACTTGCACATTGTTTATAGGTTCTTGATATTCTGTTTCTAGGAAATGAACACTTAAGGCCTGAAAAATTGTCTCTGCCTTCACAGCTCCTAAGCAATGCTACACTCAGAAATRCATCATGGTATGGCTTCCTACTGATTTACACATTATCTGTCAAGGATGCTGTGAAACACTTTTAAATAAAAGATCAGAAGAGGTAAAAAGAGAGGCAGAGAAAACCCCAAATGAAACAACTAGGCCCAGTTACATCTACAAATATTTGGTGAGGTTTGAGCACAGTACACTTTGAACTTTTGCAATCAAGGGTAATGTATCAGTTGTTTTAATGAGCATGCATTTACTGCTCTTGACGTTATGGTGGAGTTTGATAATAGCTGTGTGTCAGTCACAGGCCTCTTGGTCCACTCAGTTTATTTTTTGTTTGTAATTTGGTGGTCACGTTTCTGAATTTTAATTCTCACACGTATTCTCTCCCTTGCCKTATCTTTCAGGAAATAAATGATGTGGATGTGCAGGAGCTGGTGAGAAGGTCAATTGGAAGGTTAACAATTATCCGACAGACGTTTCCAGTCCCCCAAAACATCAGTCAGCGCTGTTTCCGTGGCAACCACAGAATATCTTCATCACTGTGTGATCCGAAGGACCCTTTCTCCCAAAGCATGGAGGTATTTCGTACACCTGAAACTGAACTGTCTTTCTAGATAAGTTTTAAGTTTTTCCTGAGGATCTAAGTGTAACTTCATGTTATTTTTTTACGTGCTCTCTGACATGCAGTTTAATGGGTTAYGGCATGACAAGGAAATACTTGGAGTAGTGGGGGTGAATGTGTGTCATGGAGAACAACAATGTTCCTGCTCCACAGAAACAGAGATAAACATCCCAAAAAGCCACCTGATCACCAGGTAGTAGGGTAGTCATTTTGTTGCCCTGCTAAATTTTAATTTTTGTCATCTCAGCAACAAGAATTTCCTCCCTATAGTCAGTGTCTCCTGAGTTGCTGTGCTTCTCTAAGCTTCAAATGTATTGTCAGTAAGAAAATCTTCCCAGAAGCACCCAAATATTCTCAAGTGCCTTAGTGTATACRTCTAAATCTGTGTCTAAATTCCAAATAGGCCTTGTTTTCAGGGCTGTTAATCACAAATTACAATTAAACTAAAATAGCCTTCCTACCACATGAATTCAGYAACAGGATTCCCTGTACTCCTGACTTCACATAGTTTTTCCAAGAACATGTCCTTTGTCTKTTTCATTAGGCTTCATCATGACAAAGCTATCGCAAATAGAGTGTGAAATTGGCTTAAGATACTGGTTTTACTTTGGGGTTTGTTTTTTTGGGGGGAGTTGTGGAAAGATGACTGCATATTATTATTTTTAGTAGTGAGCAGAGGAATATATCTGACTTCACCCTAAAAGCAGCCAACTCATGATTCTGAAAGAGAAGAGTGAGAGAAAACAATGGGAGCAAAATAGGGAGGTTTGGATGAGTGTCTTTGTTTAAAATGAAAAYATGTAAAGTGGAAAGTGTGGATAATGTTGCCCTGTTTCAATTTAGTTCTAAGAGCCTGTTTCTCACTGATTGTTCACAAAGCAGCCATCCAGCAGTTACTGATGACATGAAGGCAGGCTGCAGCACAMGGTGATCCTATTAGAGTTCTCAAAGCAAACAGGGCTGTGTGACGCCCATTGGTGCATGGGRTATCTCTACAGACTATGTAGGAAATGCAAAAAGCCTTTAGGCTGTGCCATTCTGTCATGGCAGGATGGTCCATGGGGAAGCTTTGGCATTCTGTGGACAATGCATTCAATCTGARGGYGTGCAAGGCCAAAATCAAGAATCAWGTATRGATGRGAAGCTTCACATTTTGATTTGTCTTTTCAGTTTTACTTTCATTTTCACTTCAACAGCTGGCTGACTCTAGGAAAGATAAGTTCTAGAATTYGAAGTTTATTCTCTAAAAATTGGCAAATTCCAYTTAATTTCTTAGATAGGATCTTGTACCTTAACCTGTGCTTCATGATCTACGTATTGCTTGTAGAGCTGCAATATTCCTACTGAAAGCTCTGTGTTTTGGTTCAGAGGAATGATGGGAGCTTGACTGGTTTAATTGTTCTGTGCAATTCAGTTGCTTTTTTCTTACTTTCCCTGAGATGGCTGTACTTTATTATTTTAGCTAAGACAACATTACAAAGTGAAAGGAAGGAAAACTCTGACACAATTTCTCCCRTCCTTTGAGTAGCTGTGGGGTTTGTTTGCTGATTCTTTGTTCCACCCAACATTATTATAAATTAGTTTCTAATCCAGTGGGGAGTTGGAACAGTTTATAAATTGAAATTAGTAATTTTATTTTTTTACAACGTCRAAGTGTGACTAATCAGAAACATTCTCTGGAAATTATGAGGGTGAATTTCTYGATTTATCTTTTCTGAATTACTCCCCTCAAGTCTGTGTGAATAATTAATWATTTTCAGCATTTTTTTTAAACACTGAAAAATATCCTGGTGAAGGCATCTCATTGTGTCTTTGGAACTGGTCTAGTTGAAATAAATTCTATAAACATGTATCAGTTTGAAGGCAGAAAGTTATGAACTGGAKTCACAGTAGAATTTTGTATTGTAACCCTTTTGTCTAAAAACTATGTACAGTATTATAGGTACACATAAAATAGACACTGATAATCCAGATTAATCACTCCTCCTTAATCTGATTGCCAAATACCTTTTCTCCACACTCTGGATTTGAATAGTTGCATCTGAATTTTGAATTGCATCAACAGAATGTTATGCAGATAAATGCTTCTTGGTAAAGCAAGTGTCCAGCCATTAGTCTAACAGACTTGGAATAAATAAAGAATCAGTAATGGACACCAGGCAATGCATGAAATGCCCCAGTAAATTTACGTGGGAAATTAATAAAGGTGTAAAGTGACTTTAAATTACAACCCCCTTCTGTTCATCAGGACAGTTATTAACGAAGCATGCTTGTGGCAGTGACAGGGAAGGGTGATTTTGAGAAGCAGGAATTAATTGTGGTGGCTTTATCATTGCATTATCAGTGATTGATTGCTGTAAATGTTAAGCTCAACTATTAGTGAAGGAATAACAATGCTTAATAATTGCTGAACTMTGTCCTCCTGAGCCCTGTTAACACTTGATGAAGGCCCAGCTGTATTACTCTCAGATTAGTGAGTGCATCCTTCCTCATGAACTGTGACAATTGTCTTTATTCCCACGGCAGTGGGTTACAGAAGTTACCTTGAAAGCAATGTCATTTTGTTGGGAAATGATGACTTGGCAACCACAGCCCTTCATGTACCTATTTAGTCTCATAAGTGACCTTATTCCCTCTGCTCTCCAGAGGTGGTGTGGGGATTTTTTTCCCTTTGGCAAAGGCTTATATATAAAAAAAAAAAAGCTTCACTCACAGCATAGTGATAATTCCTTCATTCCCTGCTCCAACAAATTTTCCTCTAGTGCTGACTTCATTGGGGAAACACACTTTCAGCTGAAATGCTTTGAATTCTTTGTAGGTTTACATTGCACAGGCAAATCATCCAAGCTGTTTAAAAAATGCTTGATTAACTTGGACCCAGATCCTCAATCCATACTGTTAATCCTGTCATGCACAGTGATGCCTGGCCTGTGCATCTGAAGAAAGCAGATTTGTTCCTGGGTGAGTACCAAAATGGAAATGTTCACAGCCACTGGAGTCACTGGAGGAGGAGCTCAAGTAAGAATAAAGCAGCACCTTCCAGAAAGACAGAGTGAAGGATCACTTAAAGAAAAAGGGCAGTAAGGATYGGAGGTTCTGTGCATCTGTGGTGCTAACAGTGTGGAGTTGTAAAGGTAAAGGAGGATTTGGGGAGTTTATCAGAAGGGAAAGCAAAAAATCATTAGACTCCCTTTGATAAAATTGAGAGGTCACAATGTTTTAAGTAATTCTGGAAAGTTAAGGAGAAAGAGACCTCTTCTCTGGATGCTACATGGGGAAGGGAACAAAACCTTCCTAGGATCAATATAGAGCAAGTTGTCGATGACACAAGCAAAGCCAGGATAAAGATGGAATTTACAAAAGGAAATAAAAAGATAAAAATAGGTTGTATGGAAAGGAGTAATTAGACAGGAAGAGAGGTGGGGGGTTTTAAACTTTTTTTTGTCCCTTTTTTGAGGTGATGTGTGGATTTGCCAATCAGTGTCTCAGATCTTCAGCATTATTGTGCTTCCTTGCCATACATCCCCTCCCAATAGYTGCAGGGCTTCCCCAGTCTTTGGATATATTTACAAAGCAGAGTAGGGCCACCAAGTTCCTGTGCTTTCCTATTGTAATTGTAAGCTTCCTTCTTCCTTTAAGATTTTGAGCACACCACCTGCATCTGTGTAAGAAATYTTACAGAGAGCAGCCAACATATTCCACAAATCTGAGGAAATGTCTTTTGGCTTGTCTGTGACTGATGGAGAAAAAACCCCAGCAACCTTGTCTCAAATTGCCCTTGGCTAATTTGCTGTCAGGCACTARGAATGCTCTACAAACCCCTTTATCATGCAGCTGAGGAAACTGAGTTTCCCTCAATAACTTCAGATGACCAATAGGTTATCTAAAAATAATATTCCCAAAAGTCCTTTTCATTTCTGAACATAATTTTTCTTRATGAGAACCTCTGTTCAGGACAACTGAGGTTTCTTTTTGTGATACTGTCAGTAACTTAAATGTTCCTGCCATTTGAGGACAGAAAAGACTGATATAAAGCTATATTGTAARTTACTTGTTCAAGAAGTGTTCATGAATCTTGAGCTTCTGTTCTTTTACATTTAATTGTATCTTTCACATCTGACTTTGCACTGTGTGCATTTCAAGGCATGTACATAGAAACAGATCATGTTTAAGTGGAAGTGGCACACAAGAGATTTCTCTTCTTGAGTTCCACTGTTCTGTCTTTGATCCCAAACTGGAAATTCCTCACTCTGTTTGCAGCTGTGCTCACAGTGAAACGTACACACATTTACTCTGTAAGAAGTTTATCTCACAAGGAATTAACAGCCAATGTCAAATACTCTGACTTTGTGTATAGCAAACACTATMAACTGCAGAATCAACATGCAGTTGCACACTGACAAAAATTCCACTGATCTGTATTTCATGCCTGAAAGTGTCAATCAGAACTGACTGCACAAATCATGAGCAAAAAAAACCACAATGAAATGATCAATTCTAAATTTTCAGAGTTTCTGCTTTTCAAAAGAACAAAGCAGCTTTGGAGATAATTTGATGGTGTCCAGATATCTGGTGACTGAAAAATTGAGTCTCACAAACAACTGGTTAAAAATAAAAGAAAATCTGTTTATGGTCAAGTAGAGCTTTATACCTGGCAAGTGAAGCCAGTGATTGGGCTGTGTGTAGTTCTCAGGTATGTGTAGTTTGCTGCTGCAAATCACTTTTAGCATTACATTCTCCAGCTGCAGATTTTACCAGAGCCCAAAGGTGTGACATTTTGCCTCTTCTTAATTCCAAATAAAGTAGTTAATTACCAGAGGATTATGGGTGAGGCAAAGCAAATTCTGGCTGCTGGCAGGAGRCTACAAATAATAATGCTGCTGCTTCCCTTTTGATGTCTTTACAGATTACAAACCTATATATATACGACACTGTCCTCCTGCTGGCAAATGCCTTTCATAAGAAGCTGGAGGACAGGAAGTGGCACAGCATGGCCAGCCTCACCTGCATCAGGAAGAACTCCAAACCCTGGCAAGGAGGACGATCCATGTTGGAAACCATCAAGAAGGTACTTTTTCACTCTGTTTCCTCATCTTCGATTTCTGAAATACTTGCATTAGACAATATTCCTCCTGGGGTGCATATTACTCTTATCAGTACCAGCAGTTCTTATACATTCACAGTTGAGTGGAAGTAGTCTTTATTTAGTTTGGGTTGTTTGTCAGGTTTTTTGTCAGGATTTTTTCCATGTCAGAACAATCATACTGTAATAAAATCAATAAGTGTGTTTACCAAAAGTACAAAACCCATGGGATGWTCAAGGAAGAAAAAGCATCACAGGTGAACAAGTGTCAGGGCTGAAAAAGTTTCACAAGTTAGGAAGTAAAGAAAATAAATTTGCTATTTTATTTGTAAAGGAAAGAAGAAAAAGTTGCAGAATTACACTTGGGCAATGTTCTGTGGAATTGCACTGCTTTTGGCATTAATMAAGTGAAATCATATAAATGGGAGTAAGGAAACCCTTAAATTGTCTAGGCTACATCCTGCCACCACCAAACTGTCCCTGTTGTAATCTCTATAGAGCTTTATCCCATGTCGACGTCTCACTGGTTCCCTTTGATTTTTATTTCATACCTTAATCATGCTCATGCCCAAGATGCTTYTCCTGGTTTTCAGTCTTTAAAGATAATTTTTCTTTGTTATTTCCTTTCTTCATGATATTTACAGCCTCCRCATACTGACAGACAAATATTGCAGCCTTCTGGGTCAATATTTAGTCAATATGAACATGCTCATAGTTTGCCCCTCCTTGTAAATTATTCACCTTTTTCTTCTTATGTTATTGATGTGTTTCATAAAACTGCCTTCTCGTTTGTCTGCATACACTTCCTGTAATGTATGCCTACATTTAAAGTGCTGGAATTGTAAACACAGAAAAAAAATGGACTTTAAAAAAGTTTAAATGGTGCTTTATTTATGGCTTTCACTACAGGACATTAAAATAATTTAAAATATAATGTTGTCTTGAGAAGTTGCCATTCAGCATCAGGCATTTAGCTATACCAGAAATTATGATGATGCAGGCAAAAAGTAAGGCTCCTTTGAGCACTGCTTATATTTTACCCAGTCCCAGGTTAATCTGCGCTACCTCCAAAATGACAGTTCAAGGATTTCTTTGGTATCTGTTTCCACTTTCCATTCTAACAGTTTGAAGTCATGAGACTGCAAGAATAATCCAGGACACATTTCCTATTTCAGGAGCAGGATATGGCTTTAAGGGGCTCCAAACTGTATTGCTTTAACCTATCAGAGCAATTTCAAATTCACACTTGGCAGTCCCATGTATTTTGAGCTCTGTTTCAGGCAAGACTGGTTCCCTTCTCACCTTGGATTTCGTAAATGCCATTGCAGACTTTTCAGTTAAAGTGGCCAGGAGWATTATGAAAGCATCCAAGAAGGCGGGAGCAAGTGGAAATTCCAGATTGCTAAAAAATGAAGGAAATGCCAAAGGAATTCCTGATCTATGCAGCTAACCACACTCCCATCCTGTCGCTTTCTGGTTTCTCTGCTATTTTAATTTAAAGGCTTTGATAAGAAACTATTTTATTGGTGTAGATTGAATAATCCAAATACTCCTTACACTGCATTGTGCTGACAGAGATGAATTTCTAGAAGTAACGTGCTAAAATTGAAAGTCAAAATTTAATCCAAATGAAATACAGAAATTTTATTCTGCATGAATGTTAGCAGCATTTCAATCCATAGGCATAGGAAAGCTAAAGATTGCAGAGAGCTGGAATTGCACAAGGACAGGAATTCTGCTTTAGTTTTGTGGCCTACTTTCCCTTTTCTTTCACTGAAGCACTCATGTAGAAGAGCTTTGGGATCACAGCTGTGCACTTTTGAAATTAAAGATTTGGCATTGATGAATGCCTGATGAGGTGTCAGAAAACAATAAAATCAGAACTTAATGAAGGAAAAAAAGCCCCCACCTAATCTCTCTTCTTGAGAATACTTCTTTSCCACCCTGCCTTCTTCTTTGAACACCTTTTTGCTCCTGTTGTCCTGGAGAATCCTCCAAAATCAACTGAAATACAAGTTTTTTTTCTCAAAAACATACCAGTTTTCCTTAATTTTGAAACAAAACTGGAGGAAGTTATTATGTGGTATTTCAGTAGCTTCCGAATAAAAAGTTCTGCATTTTCAATTTGAAATTTCCGCTTTTTCCAAGATGTATAAATGGAATATCATAAGAAGATACTGATACAGTTCAGGATGAAAATAGCTTCTGAGATCTTTTAAAATATTCCTAGAAAAAGAACTTCCGTCCTCTGCAACACCTGAATTCTCCCTTTGTGCTGACCTGTGTCGTAGAGCTGAAATCATCATCTGGTCTCAGATTGTCCCTCCTCTTGGTGTGGTTTCACTGGAAGTCAAATTGTACTCAAGTATGATTTTGAAGGGAAAAAGAGTTAAGGAAGAGAAGTYGGATTTCAGGCTGCCTGCCTCAGGAGAGGACCAGCAACTGCAGCAGCAGCCAAGCAGAAACGTGATGGGGCTAAAAAAAACCCAAAACCAAACCAAACCAAANATGGGGCTAAAAAAAAAAAAAAAAAAAAAAAAAAAAAAAAAAAAAAAAAAAAAAAAAAAAAAAAAAAAAGAACAAAAACAACAAAAAAAGGGCAAGAAACAACTAGTTCTAGAGGAAACTTTAATAGAGGAAATAGCTGATTTTCAGAGGTCAAGATCCAGAAACGGAACATCTGGCAGTGTTTTAGCTGCAGAGGGAAATATTTCTTAATTTCTTGAAGGGCAAATAAGAAAAGATTTGGGAAGTCTGTATCAAGCTACTCGCTGAAGAAAGAAGGAAAAGAGGATGCCAATGTTCTACCTGCAGCAGCAATTGTTAAATGCGGAACTCTGGTGATAAATAAACTGGTTTCTTTATAGTTAATGAGCTACCAGGGGAGAGTAGGGAATGAGAGGATATTAGAGTTTCAAACATTTCTTAAAATTGTAAAAATGCTGTCTAAATCATTCCTTATTGTAGTTTGTTACTTTTCACTGTTCAACACTTGACTCATGCATTGCTGTTTCTACAAACAACTACAAAAGCTGTTTTTTTCTTTGTGAATTCAACTGATTGGATAAAGCCTAAAGAAAACATTTTAAGCCCACCACAATTATTTAAATCCAATATCTGTTTCAACTCATTCTGGAACTGAATAAACAGTTAAATTCATCAAGAAAGACAATCCTTCTAATGAATTTGGCCAGCTCTAGCAATTAGTTTAAATTCACTTCTGCAGTAGGAACTATCCCTAAACACATGCTCACTTGTTTATTTCTCAGTAAAGCTATTTCACAGTTGGAGGAATAAGTATTGCTAGAAAATAATTCTACCATGGGAAAAATTAATCTGCCTGAATAGCCTGGGAATAAATGTAAGTAGGATTATAGGGAGGATCAGCTCAGCAAGATGGMATCAAGTTTCTTCTGCATATGCCTTCTCCCAGACATCTCAGGTCTCTTCCCAGCCACATTCCTTTAGCTCACTAACAGCAAATTCTTATTGCTAGCAGCAACACAGAGCCTGTCCTTTTGTGGAAAATGAGCTGTACCTGTTGGGTTGTCAACAAGTTCTGATCTCAGAAATGTCAGTGACATTCGGTAGTGACTTGCAAAAAAAGATGCCAAATTGTTTTTCAGGTAGTAGTTTGGGTTGCCTGTGCTAGTTAAAAATTCAACAACATTCTCAAAATCAAGAATAAAATGTGAAAATCATATTTACTGTTTACAGCCCTTTTTCCTGCCTATAGCCACATTTTTTATCCTTAATTGCAAAATAGGTAGTATCTGAGAATAACCATATTTTGAAGAAAAAAAGAAGAGGAAGTTTGAACAGAAGCTGAGAGCAAGAACAATATTTTATAGCTGATGATTGGCAAGCTGACATTCCCAAGTGAGGTCCTGACTGCTAGGTAAACAGTGCTTTCWTCAGGGACTTACAGTATAGTAGTGCCTAAGCATATATAAACTGCAGTTTATCTTGCCAGTCTGGATGGGACTCAAGTAGGCTTTAATTATATTGCCAAGCTTTATAACAGCTCTGCAAAGCCCAGAGCAGTGATCAGAATCATAAGTAAAACATTTTTGTCCTAGCAACTGACATTTCACTCTTCAGTTTTATATGTGTCAGGAAATTGCATGGTTGCAGCTGAACCTTAGAAGAATTTGAGAAGGTAGATCATAGATGTATCTTCATTTTTCCCCAAATAGCGTTGTTTCTGTAAGTTAAATGGAATGAAAAATTTATTTTACTCTTGCTCATTATCATGATTAACACTAAAATAATTTGGAAAAATCTCCTCAGAAAGTTCCTGGATACAGCTGTCATACAGATGGTCATTTCCTCTGTGATCTCCTTCTACTGTGCATTAGCAGAGGGATTAAACACATGCCATAAACCAAGTGTTTCAGAGACCGGGAAAGACTATGCATAAAAATTRGAGCAGCATCCTGAAAATCATCCTAGGAGATATCCTGTTCCACTCTTTCAGCCCTAAGCAATAAACCAGATTTGTGTAAGCCTTGTAAAAAGGCTGCGTGGGACAATGAGGAGTAGTAGAGGGCGATAACAGGATTGCATGGCCTGCAGGTCCAACAAAATCAATCCCAGATASGGAGGAGAAACCAAGACCTCCAAGAAATTTCCTATAAATTTAGTATTGTAGATATTAAATGGGCAGTTCTTTGCTGTTTTGTCTTTCTGCCTCTCCCCTTCCTGAGCCAGAGCATTCCCATCTACTCTGAGCTTTTATTACACTGATTTCATACATGCACATTGTAGGAGAGCAAATTCTGGTTAAGACATTCCTCCATTAGAAATTTTCAATGAATGATAGAACTGTCAAAATAGAAAAATGAGAAATAATGTTGTCATGGTTAAGATTGGATTCCAGACAAATAAAGGTGACAGACTTACAGTTTGTATCTTGTCCTGACAATTGCAGCCATTTAAAAGTCAAGATAAATAAACTTCTACAATGTTTCTTGATAGAGATCGAATTCCAAAATGTTTTTGGTAATTCTGTTAACCTGTATTATTCCAAGATAGGACTAGTTTCTAGTAGTCTAGTAAATTCTAAAGGTATTATCCTGATGATCAATTTCATCACTTTTATTAKAATCATAATGTTTTATAAAAGTAGGAGAACATTCGCAGCAATGTGCAATGGAGATGCAAATTCTGTATTTTCYTGGACTTTCTCCAAAATGAAGATGTAAGAATAGAGCTTTTAATATCATGATTCAGCAAAGCTCATGTGCTTAGCTGGGTAGTTTATATTGCAAGTTTTTTCAGTTAAAATAGAAAAGCTCTAAAACAGCAATCATAACTGCAAAGTTCTTGCCTTATGTTTTGGGGAAAACCATGCATTTCATAGGGTTTTACAC